AAAAGAGGAGCAGGGAGGGATGGAGTGGGAGAGGGAAACTGGATGAGGGGATCAGGTATTAATTAACACTCAGGATTAGTAGAACCACAAAACCTGAATTTAAAAAAAAACCTAAACCACTGAATTTAACATGGCAAATGTTTCAACTCGTGAGGGAAGTGGGAATTGTGCCGGAGGAGTTGAAGTTGTGCCGGGAATCCCGGGATCAGGGAAGCCTTGGGAGAACAGTCCGGTGTCTCTGTGTCCTGGGAGGTGTTTGGGGCAGCTCCTGGTGTGCTGGGCAAGGTCAGAGGAATTAGTAACTGCCAGGAATTCCTGCTGGGATCACCAGGCAGGGATCAGCTCTGCCAGCAGGGAAGGGAGCAGGAGGAAAAGCTGGGAGCACATGGAGAGGCTTGGGAGGAAAGTTTCAGCAGGGATGAGCCCCCGGGAGGTTGTGGTGTGTGGAGAGGGTGTTTTCTGAGTGATTCCCGGGGCTCCATCGCCTTGGGAACAGCGGGATAACGGCTTTAGAGCCCTTCAGGTCCTTCCTGGAATTCCTGAGCAGGGGCAGGAGTTGGACTGGATGAGCCATGAGGGTCCTTCCCAGCTCAGGATAGTCCATGATTCCGGGATAAACTCGGCTCTGTGGCTGAGATCAGCATCCCCAGAGGTGTGATGGTGATGGGAACACTGGAATCTCTTCCCACACAGGGATGGAAATCTGGGAATGCTGCACTAAATGCAGCTCTGGCTGAGCAGCAGAGCCCAGCGAGGTCTGGGCTCATCCCTGAGCTCAGGAATTCCGTGATCCTGGGAGAGCTGGGATCTGCCTGGTTGGAATGATGGATTCCTCCCTCACTCCAGAGGTTGGCAGCTGGAATTGGTGCCTTTGAGGGAAGTGGGAGCTGCAATCATCCCAAATTTAGCCTCCTAATTGCCCTGTGGATTCATTTGCCATCCCTGCCAGCAAACCAAGCTCAGCCCAGGCTTTGTGCTTGGATTTCCAGGATTTTGCTTCTCCTCTAAATCAGGGTGTTGACGTGGATTGGGGATTTGGGGCGGGAATCCCTCCCAGCTTCCCAAATCCCACCCTGCCAGGGCACAAGGGATGCAACTTCCCAGCCCTTTAGTTGGGTCCTTGAAAGGGGGAGGGGGAACTTGATGGTTTCTGCAGCCCCAAAACTTCCCTCCTGGCCCTTCCAAACCAGGCTGGGGGGGGGGTTGGAAGCCTCAAATCCCCGTTTTCCCTTTGTTCCAACCCAAATCCCACCCTCCCTTGGGATTCATCCGAGGTGCCAGTTAAATTGGGGTCATTTGAGATCAAACAGCAGCAACAATGAGGGGAAGAGAGGTTTTGTTTCCCCTCCAAAAAAGGCCTGAAAAAGGACATTTCCCTTCCACCTTCAGGAAGCTGGAATTCCAGCAGGCAATTCCAGCTGCTGTGCTCTTCCACTTTTAATTTTATTAAGCTTTTATTGACCTTTTTCCCCCTTTTCTTGCAGATTACAGTACCTACAGCCAAGCTGCAGCTCAGCAGGGGTAAGTACCTTCTCCTGCCTCTTTTCAAAAAGGTGCCATAAAAATAAGTGATAACTGTGCTTTAGGCTTCACTCAGGTATGTTTATAAACCCTCAGGCTTTCCCTGGAGCTTTTAGATCCTTTAGAATTCCGGCAGAATTCTTGGCTGCGGGAAAAATTTGTCTTGTGATGCCAATTTAGGGTGAGGTTATAAAATTAAATGTCTTTACATTCATTCCACAGCTACAGCGCCTATGCACCTCAGCCAGCTCAAGGATATGCACAGACCACCCAGGTAAACCACGGGAATGGGGTGGGATCACTCCTGAATCACCTGTTTGCCAGGAAAACCCACGGGGTTCTCCCAAGCACGGGAAGCTCCGTCGAAATCCGGGGTTAAAAAGTCGTTTTGTGGCAGCCTAAACTGCTTTAAGTGGAAATATAACCTCCACAATCCCCCTTTTTGTGTTAATTTATCCAGTCCTGCTCCCATAAAAGCCAAATTTTCACTTGGTGGGTGTTTTAATCAGAGGTGTAGGAGAGAAAAACCTGGAAAGAAAAAAAAAAAGGGGGGGATTTGCCTTTTGGGAAGGTGCAGAATTGGCCAGAGGAGAGGAGGGAGTTGATTTTTTGTTGTTCTCGCTGTTCATCCTCTCTCAGTTGGCTGGACTGATAAAAATCACCGTGATCTTGAAGAGATTTAACTTAATGCTTATTTTTAACCTTTAGAATGCAAGTTACTACAACCACATTTGTCTACAAACTCCAACCATGTTCCCAAAGGTAAATTCTTGTCCTCGAAAAGTCGCTGCAGGGTCAGTTTTGCCCTCCAGAGGAGGAAGGCAGGGCCAGGCTGGGCATTTGGGGCAGCTGAGAGGAAGGTGAGGGTGACTTTGGTGTGAAATAAGTGCTTGGAGACACTTGTTGGAGGAGCTGCTGCCAGCTGGAGGTGAGAGGGAAGGGCAGGAACAGGAGGCCTCAAAAACATCCTCTGGGGGAGGCTGGAACCACTAAAACCAGCTACTGGAACACCTAAAACCAGCTAGTTAAACACCTAAAACCAGTTAAACACCTAACCAGCCAACTAAACACCTAACCAGATAATTAAATATCTAACACGCTAATTAAACACCCTACCAGATAAATTAAACACCTAACCAGCTAAACTCACCTAAACCAGCTAATTAAAC